CGTACAAACGGACCTCGCGCCATTACCGCCCCCACAGCCGCGGCGCTGCCCGTCCCGCCCAGAGCGGCACGGCGCGCGCATCGCGGGCCCGGGGAGCGGCCGAGAACGGCGGCGCAGAGGGCGGCAGCGCCACCTGCCGGCCGGCGGCTCTCTCTGCGTCCCGCGGAGTCGCGCGCAGCGCTCGCGCAGTGCTGGGGAGCCCGTGGTAACGCAGAGAACGGAACGGCGCTCGGCGCAGGGCGCTCTGCCGCACTGACCGACAGGGCTGTGCATCACCTGCGTACCGCGCGGCCTCTCCGCAGCAGTTAACTGAGCCCCATTCTTTTTTACAGGCTGCTGTAGGAAGTCAGCTCTCAGCAGCTCAGAGCATTGGTGTGTGAAGAGTTTGTAAAATGAATTCTGATGTCTTTTTCCCAAAGTGAGGCAGAGCCCAATAAGGGCTCCCCATCTACCTGAGCCACACAAAAGAGGCAGCATCTTCTCTTTATTTTTTCCCCTCGGTACACAGGTGTAGCACAAAGTCAGTAATGCAAAGATGGGCTCACGCTGGGAGAGCTGCCTGCCCTCCTCCCGCCAACCAACCCGCTCAGCACAGCCTCTGCAGCTCTCCCTGCGCCTGCGCTCCCGACTGTGCTGCGCTATGCCCCCCCGGGCCCTTCCACTCTCCCTGGAAGCTGTAAGCAATCAGAGCAGAGGAGGCCAGGAAGGTGCGTTCCGTATGTCTTAGTTGTTCAGCCTCGACACAGTCACAGAGCCACGGCAGTTGGAAGGGACCTCCAGGGCTCCCCTGGCCCAACCCCACACAGCAGGCTGCACAGGAACACGTCCGGGAGGGTCTGGATTCCTCCAGAGAAGGAGACTCCCCACCTCTCAGCAGCTGGGCTGGGGCTCTGCCACCCGCACCACCGAACAGATTCCGGACAGACACTAAACATCTCTGTGAATGTAAAGTGAGATTTTTTTTTTAAAAATGCTGCTGTTTTATTTTTTCTTTATACAAACTAAAACACCAGAGGTCATTGAATCCTATATTAAATACATAAATTAAAAAATAACCATTCATAAAACTTTACATACAGTAAGGATTCTCTTCTACACATTAATACATATAATACAGATACGTGTCCAGTGGTTTATCAAAGGGTCTTTCTGCCAAATCATTAACACTTCTGTTCTGGAGTAAACACCAAAAAAAAAAAAAGAACAAAATTATATCTAAAAACAGGTGCTGATGTGAAAAAGGGCAGGGAAAAACAAACAGAAACAAAAAAAAAAAAAAACTTTCAGTCACCAGCCACTGTATGGCTGTTCATTGAACCTCACCCTAATGAGAAGAAGCCTGGCCTATCCAGTTCTCATGGAATGCCAGGAAACTGAAAGCTTTGGAGTTTCAGAGGGTATTCCCCACTGAGATGACAGCAGGGAGTTGGAAAATGAAGAATGTGTGCAAAAAAAAAAAAAACAAACAAAAAATAAAATTTACATGGGTTTGCAGGCACACCAGTGAGAATAGAGCTGTGAGCCAGGCTGGTAATATGGCAAGAAGCCCTATTTCTTTCTCAAACCAAACTGCCTAAATTCGTCTCACCAATTACATCTTTGTCTGAAGTGCTTGAATTGAAATGTCTTTGAACTCTCCTGATTTGGTGGAAGAAGGGGAGAAAAAGTGGCAAGTTTGATTTTTGTTCAGCTGACTTCCATCATGTGTGTGCCTCATCTCCCGCTGTGGTGGTGTGGAAGCAGTGGAGTGCTGTGGTCCTGCTCTAGTACAAACAGGAGGAATCAGGGCTATGTTTACCATCCTCAAGGACTGAATAAATTGCTGTGGGTTTGCTGGCTGATTTGAGGGAGGGCTGCAGAGACTCATTTGAGAGGACTCTTAATACCTTGTCTCAGAGAATATCAGGAAAAACAGAAAGCCTTGGATGACAGCTTCAGGATAAAGAATGGTGGAGAGAAAAAGAAAAAAAAGAGAAAGCAAAGTAAGGAAAAACAGAACCACAAAAGAAGTACCACATAAGATGTAAAACTAAACCATGAGCGCAGCAGTTGCTGTAGCTAAACAAGTCTAGATTGAGTTCCCCATACCTAGGTTGGAAATACATTTTCATAACCTATAGCAATGATTTCCTATATACAATAGTGACCAGACAGATAGATGTGCATATATACTTATATGTATGTATCTATATAATATAGATACATATGTATATATAGCCAAACATTTTGTATCAAACTCATTTTTGTCAGGCAGAGAGGAGGAAACTTGTATTTTACCAGCAAGTGTGTTTTAGGCATGGCTCATGTAATGCTGCAAGGAGAACAAAGCAGCTGTTGTTCAGTTCTCTGGAGGGACTCTAGCAATCTTTCTGAAGTTTGCAACCTTTTACGTGTCACACCACAGTACCCTGTGGATGCTCTGCCACCTCCCACCCCTCCCTCAGCCCTTGGAAATACAGCACCTACATGCATATAACAAGAAAGAGTACAGGAGGGGAAAATCAGGCAAGAGAAATGAGCACAAGATGTGCGTAGCGCAGGTCATAGGGCCTAAATAATGAAGCCTGTCACAAAATCAGCAAGGTATGTTCTAAAACCAAACAGTGTTATCTGCTATGCTTCTGCCCTGTGATTGTCTGTAACAAACATTTCCAGTTTTTATTTTTTTTAAAACTAAAGCAGAGATGGAAGTTACTGCACCACCATGGAAAACACATGCTGTACTCATGCTTCTTAAAGACGAGCCTGGCATTATAACATCTAAGGAAAAGTTTCCAGGCTGCATTTACTTCCCACATACTACTGCAGCCAAGTACGAAACAAACTTGTGCTCCAGCAAGGGAGAAAGAATGGTGGAAAGGGGAAGAAGGAACAACCAGACAGGAAAAAACAACTTTTTGCACTTAACAAGAAATCGCGAAGTGATCCCCATGTGTCACAAGTGTGGGAGGAGGCTCTCAAAGGGCCTGACTCCAAAGTTTCATGATGAATTGGCAGCAGCACCCTTGGAAAGCACAGGTGATAGGTTTGGGCCAACCTTATCCATAGATTCTTCTGCAACACAGAGCATGCAAACATACCAGCATTCATGTAACATACCTGCCTACAAGCCTGTTACAAAAAAAAAAAAAAGTAAAATGGGGCCAAACAACATATAGCTAGTGCAGAATTCAGTAAACCCCTTGACTAAAACGGACTGCTTCACGCAGCTCCATTCATTTCGCAATTTAAATTAATTGTAAGGAGCAGAAAGTTGCTGGTAGCTGCTAACCTTTAATGGAGGGCTCAACAGAACTTCCAGACATGCATGAAATGAGGATCTTCTCAGTCTCTGACAAACAGAACCCAGTGTTGGACATTAATGAGTAAAATCTATTCCAGCTCCAAAACATTTGAGGGGCAGGCATCCTCTGCACTAGATGAACTTCATTCCTGCTACAGCCGAGGAATAGCTTCTGCCCTACTGAGTTGTTGTGCAAGTTACTTCACTGCTTTGTGCCTCAGTTGCTTCATCTGTGAAAATGAACAAGCAAGCAAAGGCAAGATTCTTTGTAAAGCACTTTTAAAGCTTCTAGTATGCAGAGTCTGCGCACATAAAATTTGGAACACGTGAGCCCTCTTTCGAAGGTTTAAGTAACGCACAGGCTGTCTTCTACACTGTTACATGGAAATCCATTTTTTTTTTTCCCAGCTGAAATTAAGGCGCCGCTGTGGAAGACACAGCTCAAATAAGCTTTGCCACAGGAACCTGAAGTCTGCACAGGCAAGACCCTGTTTCCAGGGAAATAAAAACAGGCAGAGAAGTGCACTGCTGTGCCTAGCTCATACAGCACACCATGAAGAAAGGAAAGATGGAAGCAAAGGTGCATCCAACAGACACAGAAGCTTGGCAGGGTTTGTTGCAGGTGCCAGCTCTCCTTGGGGTTTGCTTTTTACCAACTAAAGGGACATGCAGCTGCAAGGGCACTGCTTGCCTTAGGGAGACAGCAGGACTGGGTTCCAGACTTGGTCGAGAAAGAGATACATAATGCTTTGAAATGGAAATGACTTCTAGTTATTATGGTAATATCTAAATGGACTAATGACACTACTTCTCATATCTAGTAAAGATGCCTTCACATGGCTTTCCCCACTATTTGGTAAACGCATTCTTGGTCAAGAAGCCAGCTAACAAAATCCATTTGACAAGCCAAACCAAAATATTTATAAGGGCTTCTTATGCTCAGTAGGATCAAGGCTGGAACAAAATATCTGAAAGCTGATGCTCTGAGGATCATACAACATAGACACTGGGGACTGCTTTCTTTCCTTTCCCCTTGAACACATCTTCTCAGAAGCCACACTGTAAGTTCAATCCAGTGCTCCTCAGCATATTATTCTTTTAATGAAACCAAATATGGAAGTCTGAGAAGTATCTGACAAAGGACAGGCTTTTCTTCATGCATGGAGTATGAAGAGATAAGACAACTCTGCCAGAAATATTCCTTATGCCCCACATCTGATTCTTCCCTTCCTCTGCCATGTACAATGGCGCCTTATAATGACCTCAAATACAAAACATGGTGGTTTGTCCTGCCCACAGTGCAATAAGCCAGAATACATTTCTCCTTTTTTTTTTGCCCCCACATTGCAGCTGTCATTGTTCCTGAGGTGAACACCAAAGGGAGAGAGAAAGAGTCTCCCTGCAGTGAGAAAGTCCGACAGTTCGAACAGAACACCTTATGGTCAGCATCTCTCTGCACAGCCTAAGCGTTTCTCCTGCTCTTTCCTCTTATTTATCTGTTTGTGGGATATCAGATTTAAACAACTGCCCTGCACAGCAGGGATAGATTTTTCTGTTGTAACTTTGGTTCCATGCCCAAGACACACTCTGACTCAATCAGCTGGAAGCGGATCCTTGCTGATTCCATTTAAGTTTTTCTTTAGCAAAGTAGGTTGACAGTTTATATTTCTTCCCCTTTTGTAATTTCAACATATAGAACTTCATTAGATGCAGCATATATCATAGCTTTAGACAGGAACTGTCCGTTAACGAATCTTGAGTGATGGCTTTAAAATACAAGGTGGTTGTGGTCTTGGCTACAGGTTGTTCATTTGTTTTTTTGTTTTTCTTAAACAGATGTAAACAAGGTTCTCTTCATTGGGGGGTTGGAAGCATTTGCTTTTCTAGGGACAAATCTGTGTGGCCGGGTGCTCTAAAAGTATAAGAAAAAGAACATCTGTATCAGATAAGTGATAAGTTCGCTGCCTACCTATCCAGCTGACAAACAGAATCTATCAGAAAGGTGAAAGGATTTTTTTCTTATATTACCAGCTAACTTGGCAGACTGTTTCTGCTCCCCATCTATTGGACACTACAGAGTACAGCCTTCTGGTCAACAGAAGTTCCCACAGGTATCCTCAGGCAAATAGTTACACATCAGTCCATGGAAAACTGTCAGTGTCAGTAACTCTTGTACCAAAGTTGCCTAAAATTTACCAGATATGACAGCAGGTGATACATTTGTGGTTTTACCCCAAATCTAGGACTTTGGCTGATTCAGTAATGAGTCAAATGCAGACTACTTCTGGTTCAAGGAAATCTTTCCTGTAATATGGAAAAGAATTCCGGGTTTCAGATTTGAAGTGTGGGAGAAAACAGCTTAGTTTTTCTTTGCTTCCTCAGCGTTAAAATCCACATGGTAAAACTCACTGAGTGTGAGACTGAGGTAGACCAGACTTTATGCAATCGCAAGTGAAAATGTACATACACAAGCACCAAAAAAATGCAGATAGTAAACTCCCAGAAGGAGCAAGAGAATTCTGGTCTGGATGCTAAATATGCTGCATACGGCTTCATTCACACACATTGCATTCTGAACTTGTTTCAAATGCTTGTCCATCCTAATCTCAAAAGAACAGCAATGAGCTGTGCCTAATCCTGTCAGAAAAAGAATCCAGAAGGAATCATCTGCAATTGTATCAGTTTGCTCTAAGAGTTGAGAGACTGTTAAAGGACAAACTGGAGCAGCGCTCCAACAAAACCAAAGTTTTCTCATTATCGGATTGTTCCTTATGTCTATTTCAAGGAGGTGCTGTAAGTTTTTGTTGTTGTTTTATTATAGATCTGTTTGAAGTCTCCTGTAAGGTTAATAAAGTCAACATACATCCAGTGAAAGTCAAGCACTTTTGCAAAGATCACCCTAATGGTATTCATCTTGGTAATTCTAAGAACCAGAAACTGAGATGGCACAGTGAATTTTACCTGCTGTTCTCTTAATTATTTGATATTATGAAATTCCTGTTGGCTTTAGTTTTTGCAATTACAAATGGCGTAGTATAATTAGCAAGCTTTGTCAGTTCATTTACAAGAATGTTGGACAGTGTTGGTCTGGCTGCAACGCCATCTGTTAGATCAGCAGTGATCACTCTCCACAATGAACTTACAAATTACAAATTGACAACAACTTCCCAGATTCCTGACTCTGAACGTGCACAGAACACACAAAGTCTGATCCTCAGCACAGCGCAAGAAGTACCAGATTTGAGGAGAAAAATAACATAGTCTTACCTTTTCAAGAGGCACATTGACATCAAGGCCAAAGAATAAAGGCAAGAGAGAAGAACAAGAATAGAAATAGAAACTGCAGAAGAAAAAGACAGCATAAAAATAAGAAGTCATGGCATTGTAAGCACCAGGATTAGTTATTTTTGCACTCTGAAGGACAAGTAAAGTAATTCTATGTTCAGAATAGACTGTATTTCCCTAGTTACATCTCAAAGTGCCACATTACAAACAGATGTGATTTATTTTGGTGGCAAACTAGAATTTGCACCATATTGAAAGCCTGAGATACAGCTGTCACTGTAAGCCACTGTGGAATGATGGAAGACACAAAGCTGGACATCAAAACTAGCATGAGCAGTATTTTAAAGTAGGTTAAAAAAAAAAAACAGTGCCTGTCATTTATGCTGGAAATAACCTGCAACTGTAAGTATACACAGTGTTATACAATATCAAAACCTAACCATTATACTTTGAAAAAATTGGATGTGTCATTTTAATCATGAATGATCTCCTGGAATGTGAATTTTTATGAATAAAAAATTCTGTGGAATACTGACACTAAAGAGTCTCGTACTCAAGGTCTCCATATGACCACTGCATAAATTTTATTTTTGTTTTGATTTTCATTACAGATTATGAAATATTTCCATGTTGTATACTCAAGAAAGACAGACACCGAGTTCTTGTGTCATGAAAATACTGACAGAAAAGTGGAAGGAATTACGTATATCAAGTTTTACACTGAACTCATTTGTTTCACTTAAGGAACATAATACAAACTGGGGGGGCTCATTGGCACTACAGTCACTGTACTGATAAAGCCATGGTTATAGCTCACATATGTACTTTGATCTTCACTAATACGACTACATGGGCAAAACTCTCACTGGAGATACATCTTACATCAGTACAGCATTCCTAGAAAATACATCAATGGTAAGATTATGATGCGCCCACACTGATCTTTCTTCAGCAATCCTATCTAACCTATCAAGAATTAAGACAAGTTAATGTGACAAAGAAAAAAGCAGCACAGCTCTGTATATATTTATGTGTATCTTTGTGTATATATAGGGAGAATGTAGATATGCAACTTGACAGGTCGGCCAGGAGCAAGATTCTGGTACTGCATTCATATTGCATAATCAATTGCAAACTTCAGTAAACAAGACAGCATTAGAACCTGAGTTCCCAAAGGACAGTCTCTGTACCTTCACTGAGCTTCATTTGCTCCTTCCTGCTCACTACCATCACCCTGCCTTAATGGATGTACTGCTTGGAGACCAAGACAGCCTCTCACCACCAAATAAAGGTTTCAACATTTGGCCCAGTATCATTCACCATAATTAAAAAGTGTTCAGAATTTATTTCCTAAAATGAAACAATCTGTTGTGGAAGAGACTCTAAGATTAAAGTCAGAATACACTAAAAGGCAAAAACTGAGAAAAGGCATAGTAGAAAAGCACTAAAATGTACAGCCGATTAGGTATAAAAAGAAATCCATGTAGTTCAAAAGAATTAGGTCATTACTTTCAAAACAAGCCTGCTTCAGAAACAAAACAAAACCAACCTTTTCCTCCAAGTCCTTAATTTGTCTCTTTTGGATGTCAGTTTTGTCTTCTAAATCTCGGATCCTCTGGAAATTAGAAAAGAAAGCAACTAGACTCAGTAGCTCTGCTCAGCTGAAAGCAACCGAACATCTGAAGTGACAAAAGCCCAGAAATTAACGAGTTCACTTCTCTGGCAGGTATGAACTTATGGAGCAGCACGATTCTAGCCACTAGCCCTGCCTAACAGTGACTTTACCTCACGTATGACCACTCAAAACATGATGTTGTGTGTATTTTACTGCATCCTCAAAACACTGGGAATTAGCATCAACAGTGGATGTTTGATAGTATTGATTTTACTAATCCTGTGGTAAAGATATGGAAAGTGTACAGTTGTGATTATACTGTTAGAAATATATCAAAATTAAGATTTCTCACAGTATGATGTATTAAAAAAGGACTAAAATGTTATCAGATGTGAAGTGTTAAATGTTTATGGCTAACACTAATTCTGTGGTTAGCTGGGTGTGCTAAACTCATACTCAATGTGGTTTTAACAGAGATAGATACTTCTACAAAAACTGCGTAATACAACTTAGAAGTTTAGCACAATGGGAAGAATGATCCCACAGAGTTACAGACTACAAAAATGAGACCTTGAGTCTTTGTGACTTTTTTCTACTTAGCCAGAGCCTATGACAGATGGCCAGTAACCAGGAGAAACCCAGAAGTAGCAGGAAAAAGATACTTCTCCTACGCGACATGCACCAGTACAATTTATGCAGTTCCTACTGAGACAAGTCCAATAACTACGGCAGCCACTTTTAAGGATGAAAACTGCTTGGATTAGAATTTTAAGACTCAAAATACTTCTAAAGACCACTCCATGAGCTAATATTAAGGGTTTATGTGCACAGTAAAGACATGAAGTATAAAACAACTCAGGAAACTAGATGTCAGGCATGCCTGTGACCTGGAGCCTGCCCAGATTTGGCCTCAGTTTTTACTCTTACACTGCAAAACTGCATAGATACACATGTGCTTTTTTCTTTTTACCTGATGAGCCTGCTGGAGCAGCTCCATCCTCTCCTGAAGAATCTGGCAATCATATTCTCTGCTTTTCCTCAGCATCTGGCGTCTTAGCTTTTCTACTGCTGTCCTGAGCTCTTCCTGCTGTTTTTCAGTGAGCAGTTCTCCAAACTTTATCACCGTTTCTTGCTGCAAAGCATTGTACAAGGTGGCCTCAAGCTCCTGGATCCTCTGGTCGATGCAATACCAAAAGTCAGTTAGAGACAGAACTTTTTTTTTTTTTAAAAAAGGGAGGACAGGGAGTTGTGGCAGATTGAGGCACCTGCATGATGGCCCCTGTGCTCAAACATGCAGGAGTGTGACAAGCAGAACTTACAGAAGGGCCCAATGCTTAAACCAAAAAAGCGCGCACTTTTATTTGCATGGTATTCTAATACTGTCACTGACATCTCTTGGTGACTTTTTTTTTTTAAGTGGTTATAGTGATGATCAGGAGTTGGACAAAACTTTCATATGTATGTTATAATTGCAATTAAAAAGATGAATATTTCACCAACTCTAAAGCTGACCCACTGCACTAGAAATAAGTCTTAAAACAAGACAGACTGAAAGTCAGTGCTAGACTAATTTTGCTCTTAACGCTGCTAGTCATGAGTATTGCCATTAACTGACAAACCAAATATGCTGAACTTGTGTGGCTGGTTACCAGACCTACGTATCAGAATTTGGTACAGCAGTGTTTTACAGCAGGAAATCTCGCTCTTTGCGGCACATCATCTTCTTGCTATGGCATACACAAAATGGGCCCTCTAAGATTCCAGATCTGAGTTCTAGTTGATTGCACTGACTCCATTTGGACATGTTGACATTAATGAGCAACATCTGCCTTCAGATGACAGAAGAGTTTTGGACTTCAGGAGCTCTGCCTTTTTATGATGTGCCAGCAAATCCTAGGCGCCCCTTTGAAGTGTTGCAGATGCATGGGTAGTGTGTCAGATAAAAGATACCAAGAGGAAAGCAAAAACCTCTCTTCTTGATCCAGATGGAGCCTGTGTCGCACTACAGTGCGAACCAATGTATGCTGTAGCACTTCCTTTGTACATACCATGTATGCCTGGTCAAGAGCTTGCTTCCTGTAGTCTAGTTCTTCCTCCAAATAACCTTTTATTTTGCAAAATTGCTCCTACAACAAAGGATCATTTGGACAGAAAAATGAGTTAGTTACTCAAAATGCTTGGGAAGTTTTATTAAATCAACAGATATCTGACTTAGGTAGGACTAGAAGACTGATCTACAGCTGACACTGCAGGGTTATTCGTATTTGGCTATCTCAGATAGAAGAGTAGGAACAAAAACAGCTGTGTTTGCTTTTCATGATAATACATCTCCTACATAAAGCTAAATCTATAATCTCTTTTCTTAGTGGTGCTGCTTAGCATTTCAGTAGTAGCATTTCAGTTTTTGTGCAGACAGCAGCTCTGGAGGCATGGACAACACCTTCTGTTGATCTTCTTATTTTGGAATAAGTGTGAGAGTGCAATCAGCTGAACAGGAACTGAATCAGGCATTTTCATGACCATGTTATTTGGAGAAAGATGCTGCGTTTAAGTCCTCAACTTAAGCTTAATCAACTTAAGTATGGACATGCCAACTCATGCTGGTAGGCTAATTTTAAAAGACTTCCACTAACTAGAATAAGAGTAGTATAAAAGTACTGTAGCAAGTTGATCTGTGAGTGTTTTACCTTAAAGATTATATAGGCTTAAAGCACAATGAAATAAAACAGCATGAAAATTATTTCCCACTTATCTATAGAGAATAAAATGCAGTACCACTACTAACTTTTAAACTTTAATTGTTTAAGTTTAACATTAAGGCAAAGAGTATGGTCACTTACATCTCTGAAAATCACCAAGCAGCATCTGAGTCTTTGTATTTTTTAATAAACAGTTATCTTAATAAAAAAAGTTCTCAAATGTCAACTATTTCTCTTTCCTTTATTCTGCTGTTGCACATGAAACAGAAACTTTATGGATTCACTAATAATCACAGAAAGCCTCCATACGTGTTTTGCCAAAAGACCAGTTTTTAATAGCTTGTGGCACGTCAAGTGTGACATATTTCTAAGAAGTCATTCAAAGAAAGTCTGCCTACCATATCGCTCTCCAGTTCCATCATCTTCTGGTGCAGAGCAGCCTCAGCTCCCTCAATCTGCTGAATCCACTGCAGGCAAAAGAATGAGAGCTGTAACCTGCTGTGTTTTCTAGGCAAGTAATGTTTTATTTTACTTTGTATTTCCAGCTATTCTGACCACATTGCTCGTGTCTGGTAAATCTAACATCTCTGCCACTTTAGCAAGGTGTTTGAGACTGTGATTACATTTACATTAAGGTATTCCTATCCTTGCAAAATCTCTAGTTGATGCACACTAATATAAAATACTGCTAGCAGGGTTTTCTTTTTCCAAGAAATTGCCTCCTATACTAGAAAGTTTGATTATATTTCCAACAACAGAGCTGAAAATTGACAGCATTATATGAGTCATTAGATAAGACTTGAGAAAAGCAAGCACACATTTTACCTTTTCTGCCAAAGACAACACAGTGGAAGCCTGAATTATAGCCACTTGCTCCTCATTTCTTAAATTCTGTGAAGAGAAGGAATAAAAATTAGTCCTAGTTTCCTACATGGATACAGATTATCCATGCTATACACACTAGGTCTACATCAAAATGTCCCGGGTCTGCTAACATAAAAGAAAGAAGAATGCTTTATTTCTTTGCAAGCTATGGACTATGTTTTCACACTGCTGCACCTCAGGAGAAATCTAAAGTTAGACCCATTTGCCTTTGGGGTAGTTTCTCTAAACCAAATTTCCATAACTTCTTGAAAAACAATTAAGCTAAAGCTCATCTGTTTCAGTACACACAGAGATAATCACGATCCTTCTTTTACTACTTCTTATGCACTCTTAAGGCATATCTAATGTTGACCACAGATAGAGGATATTCTCTTTCACAAGGATGATTAAAGTGGGCAATGTCTGCTTAGAAAGCCACACAGCGTTTGGTATTTCTTGCCTATTTATGAAACTTCTTTCAGAGAAATCCTAGACATGATGAAGATGTGGTGGGCTTATACTGCCAAACTAATTCATCACAAGTTTTTGCTGAGTGCCTGGATTGCAGTCAGGCCTGGTTCCAGATGTCATTTGGCCTCTGGACACGCATTCTTCCCAGTCTACTAAACCAGTTGTTAAAGCTACTGCTTTGTTACAAATCCTCTGATTATAGAGGTCCAACAAAAGCTAAAGTTAAAGGTATATGTTCTCTAGAGGAACAATTCCAATATTACATGATTTAACAAATACCTTAGAAAACAGTCAGTTACAGGTTTCACTTATCCTCTGTACAGAATGTAGCTTGTAAAGAGAAAATATCTCCCTCTTAACTTACCCCATTATCACCTAGGATGTCTAATTGTTTTATGAGGTCTGGGATGCTGACATCCTGCAAACAGAAAATAAGATAAAGGCAAGGCATGCACATTTTTATCATGTCTGCATTATTTGTCCTTCCTATGAAAAACGTTGAGATAAAACATGGAAATGCAACACACACTGATTTCAATTGCTTTTGCACCAGGTTTTGTAATCATACTGAAAACTACAACTACAACTCCATATGTCAAACAAGTTTCATTAGACTGATTAAACCTGAAAATTTACTGGAGTTATTTGCAGAGATCAATGTAAGTGATTACACGGACAGCATCAGCCACTCCTGTAGTGAGCCCTGCCCAATGAAACTGACTTACCTTCACCCCTTCCTTCATGCAGTATATCTGTAGAGCACTCACACCGTCTGAGAATGGGTGAATTTGAAGATTAAATGGTGGGGACCGTCTCTCTCTTTCCTGAATATTCATGAAGACAACACCAGAGAGCATGTTAGCATGAATGAGATGCGTAGAGAACTCAGCAAATGCCACGGCTACTGTTTATATCATGCTCCACAAACTTAGTCTCCTCACAGTAAGAGAAAAGCGTTACATCAGCATTTGACAACTGCTGGTAACATCTAATGGCAGGACTCCAGGCTAAGAATAGAGTGCAGAGTAGCATAGGATCCTAAATTCCAATTAATTATTTTATGGCACGTTATTTATTTGATGAATTACGTATGTTTGCAAGTTGTCTGTCGTCAGCTAAGACTGTCATTTAAAGTGATTTGCTCAGTAAAGTGTTGAAAAAAAAACTATACACTGCTGATAGTACTACCTTTACGAGCAAATATTTTACTTAAGACTACAAGGATACTTGGATTACATCCTTGCCCATCCTCACATCACATGTTCTACTACTCATGGAAAGCAGTAGGTTCAAGGAAATTGATAAACATAGCTGTTTATACACCTTTACTGCCTAAAACCTACAAACACCTATTTTAAAAGGCCAAAGAAAAATAAAAATCTGAAGATGTTATTTCACATTCCTTTTCTTAGTCAGGCAAGCACACAAGATTAAATTTCACCTTGAAATACACTTCTGGCTTGTGAGCATTTAATTCAATTCTTCATTTCCATGAGAAAATAAACAAACAAGCTCACAAACAAAAAAACCCACAACTGGATATCAGCAGCAATTTTGGCTGCCAACTAGGATGCAGCCCTAAGTAAAGTACATGAGGATGGAGTTTAAATCTTGTTCACTGGGTCATTTCAATCCAATTCATTTCTGTTAATTGTAATAGATTCTGGCCAGCACTGTGCATATATCCTCCAGGCCAGCAATAAGGACAAAGCATGCTGACAACAGACCGCTCTGAAGTATTAGAAGAAAACATACCTACAAGTATGATAACTTTGCACAGCCACACCAAAGTTAATCAGCTAAGATTAGCCTTGCTTACTAGGCATCTGGCTCGGACCAAAATGAGTCAAGTACGGAGCTTACTGTTTCCAGGACACTAGAGCCCACATATTCCCACAAACTGCAAATAAACGTGCTTGCACTGATTAGTTTCTCAATCATATCATTACAGTGTTGGTGTAAACAGTCAAAGTTGGTGTCCAGTGTGAGTGAATTGGTTTCATCTGCTACCAGCTCTACTGCAAGCAGAACATCACTACCTCCAGCTCCAGGTTGCGGAACTCCAGCAGCTCATTCTGGTCCCGGGCATCCTGTAGCTCCTGTTGCAGACGGTTGTTTTCTGCTTCCAGTTTTTCTATCTAATAGATATACATAAATTCATTATCTGCATGACTGTTACATGAGACACTGAGTATTTGTCACGTAACAGTTCGGACAGCATAGGCAGTGTAAAATCCAAACCTCTAGAGATGATTCTCTAGCTGCCACGTTAACTCAGAGTTTATAATTTACAGGTGAACTTCTGCTCACCTTGCTAAACATCATAAAATGCTCACATTGAAGGTTTTCCTAAAGCAATCCAATCCTAGCGAACATCAGTGGGAAGGCTGATGGAAACATCAAGCTAGCTATTAGATTAGTCTGTATTAACTATAATGTGCATTGCTCTCATGGTAAAGCACTGGAATAGATGGTTTGGAGGGGAACTGTACAGACTTAGAGGACTCTGCAAACAGCTTGGATAAGCACCTATCAGGAACACCTGGTCCTGCCTTGGAGGAGGTCCTGGGCTTTCGGCACACAAGGACAACTGTCTCTGGATGCAGTTACTTGAGCAGCTATCCTATCTCATTCGAGCACTCCTCAAGAACAGTTCTGTCAATTAGCAAATAGATGTGAATAACATGCACTGGCCAATTAGATACAACTTCATTGCTCTGGACAGTTCCACCACTGATCCCCTATAGCCTGCTCCCTTCCACAAGTCTCTGGCCAGTGCCAGGATCCATATTTTGCAATGAGGTTTCCCGAGTGGAGCCAATACCAGGACAGTTGATCTGTATCAACCTGCTCCCAAATGAGCCCCCTTGGGTCAATTCATCTGGCTGGGGAAGTATGACACAGGACTGGAGACTTATAAGACTTGTTTATGGAAGGGAAGAAACACAGCTAGGATGCCCTATCTAGAGAGGTGAAAGAAGTTAGGAGATCCATTGCTGGGTGTTAACGGCCTCATGCTGATGGCAGTCATACGTACAGCCACTGCTGTAACTGTTGGTGATACGCAAGCAATGCTAAGGTCCTTCATGGGCTTATATTGCATGACTAAAAATGCATACATACAAATATATGGATATACATATGCACACGTAAATGCTCCAAGTAAAAGAGCAGTTCAAGTTCACAGGACCTAGGGGTGACTCAAGCCCTTAAAAAAACAAACAAACAAACATACGGACTATACTGAGACCAGGAGTACAGAAGTCCTGATGTTAGAGGATGACTTCATTTCTGCTGCCATTTCATATCAAGAAGCTCAGCTCTGATTGTCCTGTTGAGGCAGCATCAGCAAACTCTTTGAAACAATGCTGCAACAGCACAATGTTAACAGCAGAGCTGTAATGCTGAGCAAAACTTCCAAGTCTTAGACTAGGATCATCAAGAACTACTACCAACAGTGTCTTATCAGTGCTGGAGAGGCCATATCTATCTACATCACTCTATCTGTATATCCTGTTCATATTCAAATACACTGTGCTATCCATACACTATTCTTGTAAACACTAGAGTAAACATCCAAAAGGTGTATTTTAGGATCAAGATTACACTACAGAGTGAACACAATCATCACCAAGGTTGGATAAGACCTCCACGATCATCCAGTCCAACTGTCCACCTATCATCAGTATTTCTCACTAAACCATGTCCCTCAGTCCAACATCTGAACATTTCTTGAACACTCCCAGTCAGTAACTCCCTGGACAGGCCATAGCAGCACCTGATCAGTCTGTTGGAGAAGTACCTTTTCCTAACATCCTAACCTCAATCTCTCCTGGCACAGCTTGAGGCCATTCCCTCTATCTATATCACTAGCTACATTGGAGAAGAGGCCAACCCCAACCTTACTGTAACCTTCCTTCAGGTAGCCATAGAGAGCAATAACATAACCTCCCCTGAGTCTCCAGACATGCAAAACTCAGGAACGTACCTTGTCTAAAAGCTCTTGGTTCCTCTTAATGAAAAGCTGTTTGTCTTCCACCCAATGGGAATCCTGTTGAATGAAGCAGTTCTGTTACAGAATAATCAAACCTCACAAGGCTGAAAATTGGAACCACAATACTCAGGTTTTAAAATCCTACATAAACAAATCATGGATCACAAAACAACAGCATATTAGTTTAGCAAGCTTTAGCAAGGCTTCTAAGCACACTATACCTGCCTGCTTATTAGCAGAGACATTACATCTTGGGGAAGTCTATAATTAAATTGTGCTAGGTGTATTCTAAACAGAGTGAAGATACAAAACAGGAAAAACAAAATATACAAGAGGTGCTTACCTGTCCTTTTTGTGCTAAAGTTTTCTCCAAATCTTCTATTTTGGCTTTGTATCTCTGGACTTCTGCCTGGAGCTGCTCCTGAGCCTGTCGAAGTCAAACACAGCATTCAGCAACAACCAAAACAGCAATGTAACTGACATAAAAAAATGAAAAACAAAATAGTCTGGATCTACACCATTATTTCTACGGAATGAGTAATCACTACAAAGCTCTGTAATATTTGTGTCACCTTACATATGCATACAGATGGCAAAAGGGGACAGAGCAGCAGTTCCACTCAAGTCTGTTAATAAACATGTCTTAAACTGGAGCAGAGCAATGGAAGGCCAGATATTCAGTGTGAAGCTCTACTCAAAGACCCTAGTAAGAGCCTGTAACACTACAATGCAATGGAAAGTATAGCAGCAATAGCAGGATGGCAAAGACTTCAGCTGCAACAAGTGAGGACAAGCCCAAACGCAGCAGCCACAGATACAGAAAAGAAGAAAAGGGGAAAAAAAGCTGCATTCAGGTGGGTATTTCTAAAGTTGGTGCAATTTATGCCTTTATGGAAAAACATAGGCCTCCATTCACACACACAAATCCAAACCCTTCACACCTGGGCAAAACAGGAGACCATTCCTGTGACTCTGTGCCAAACTACAGAAGCGGCTGCTTTGACACGTCTGTCTAAACGCAAGGGTTTGAAACAGCCAGGGAACAGACCCTAGTAAACAAAGCAATTGTGTCCATCTTCAGTCATCACTCTCTTGAAATATACTTGCCAATGAGTGAAATGCAACAGATAGACGGCCATGAATATTTATCTCCTTTTCCTTGCATGCCACTATGAGAAATCAAAACATTCTGATAGTAATGAAACGCTTTGCCTCTCAGACCGCTACTGACCTTGGCTTCTCTTTCAGCATCTATGACGCCTCCTGTTTGCTCTTGCAGTAGTGCATAAGCTCTCTGCAGGGCCTGATATTCCTTTGTCAACTGTCGAAACCGCAGCTCTGATTCTTCTGCAGCTAAACTCTGAGGAAAGAGAAAGGACACGCCTAAGCACTAGACTGCACAGCACTACCAAAGCAAAGAATGCAAGTGTAAGATATTAAACACATTAGTTGGTTTACAGATCTTGATTTAGAACAGCTTTTATGGTGATCCTGCTGTAATGAGAAGTGATAAGGATGTAGAATTAATTGAATTATGTGTCTTTAAGCTAAAAAGAAGCGTGACAAGTTCATTTTCTTGGGAGATGAGAGGGAAGAAGTCACCTCAGACTGCAATGAAGTCATAGCTGTAGAGTCTATGGACTAGACTTTGAGAGAACTTCCCAGTATTTGAGTATATGAAAATGAGGCCGAATTTAATGAAGAACTTGCCATCCAATATGCAGCAATAAAACCCAGGTCACTTGCTTTGGAAGTCAGAATCATTTGAAGATTTGTCCTTGCCTATGGAAATCGAGTCAGATCTTACCTCATCCAGATCATCATCCGGAGTTGCTGGTGTTCTGTCTGTTCTGTATGAGGCCACTGAGGATGTTTCAGAGTCCATAGAATCATCATCATACCCCAAAACTGTGTCTATCACGTGTCTCTAAAGAAGGAAAAACATGGTTTCTGAAACTGCCTGGAAATGGCCAGTATGGGTTTCTAATTTGGAGAAGGATTAGTTTCAAGCCCTATTACCAGTAAAAGGAATCTGAATCCAACAAAAAAAAAACAAAAAACCACAAGAACAGAAGATGCCAATCAACTTTTACATATCTTTTTTTAATTCATAATTTTTCCTCTTACCTTAATTGGCTTTGAACTCCTTTTACTCCTTCTGCGACGAATGAGTTTTTCCCTGTCCTAGAAAGTGAGATTGAAAAGTTATTGGACTCAATTTTTACCTCTATCTTCTTTTGTTTGCAGCCCCAGAACGTTAGACCTACAGATGAGATAAGTCACTGCTTTTCCACTGACTGCTATATTTTTCAGAAGCAATATGATTCCAGGTAGAAGGGAAGATTCATACCTAAATCTGTCTGCCAGCTGAAAATCACTTGATGAAGAGGGAATAGCAGAAAAGCAGCCCCTGCTGTTGTGTAGCTGCCTTGGCAGGCGGCTGTCAGACCACAGACACTGATCAATTTCCTGTGAAAGTCACCAGGAGGCTTTCACAGGGCACCCATTTGGGTTCATAATGGGAAGCAAACTGCCTTCACTGCAAAGGTGGTGCTTCCTCTGTCTCAGAGTTATTAAGAGATACACATGTTGATTTCACCACTTCTAGCAATGGTGCCTTAGGAGAAGAAACAGCCTGCTTTGGAGTATCTTTCTCCTTCCCTCAACAAAATGCAAAGTTATCTGAAAAAGGGATTGTCAGTGTTAAAGGATACAACATAAGAACTAGAGAACCACTAGCACCATGCTCTTTCCCAGCACACAAAGGGCACTGCGTTGTGTGCATGCGTTTTTCTTCTCCAAGAAGATTTTAATAGCAGCATGGTTACCTCATACGCCAGCTTGTCACAGCCCTGCCTTGCAAACGTGTGTGTATGTTCCTGAGCTCCACTGTTCAGTCTGTTCATTTCTACAGCTCAGTTCACACATAAATGTCACATTTTCAAGTTGCAGAGACAACATCCCATTAAAAAAGCAGTTAATCCACACCAACACACTCTGACTTCTAAAGCTACATAGGTGTTAAGAGCAAGGAAGATATGAAACCTCAGAACTCTATTCATAATATGAAATACTAGTGGCAGTTAACTTTGTACAGGAATTCCTGCTAATTTCCTGGTGTTCTGGACGTACCCTTGTTAACTCATCAATTATGTTCTGCTGTTCTATGACCTGAAGCTTTAAAAATTCTGTTTCTTGTTCTTCATTAGCCTGATCCAGGTCATTGAGAGATTTTAGTTTCTTTAGTGGAGGATGCGATGTCATTTTTTCTCTCTGTGGTAAGAAGACATAGATAAAATAAGATCCAGCAATTAAACAAGAAAAACAAACATTCAGTTATAAATTAAGTGGAGCTTTTCATTTAGAATGTACCATCATATTAATATGCTTCTGCTAAATAATTTGTATAACTTGTAATTTTATAATTCATAGTATCAGCTATACAAGTTTTATAAACCACAAGCAGTTCTTAACAACAAAGCAGCACAGAAAGGCTGAGTTCTGCTTGAAGAACAATACGGACTTATATCTATTTATTTTGTGGTAATCTAGCTTCTACCCCTTAAAAGTCACATGCATTCAGAGGCCCACCGCATGGCAAATACATTTATCTCCTGTCCAGGGGACATCCCAGTAGTATCTGCTCCATGTCCCCACGCATTTGCTGATACCCCTCAACTGACCATATACAGTGAGCAACTGGACATTTCAGCTTTGTGAAAAACTCGTATCCTGCCAAAAGAAGAGGAAGGGGAAATAATGAGGCACCATAACTATTTTAACTAGAACACTGTGTGCTGCCTGCTCTGAGCACGTGTGGAAAACACCTATAGCCCAAGAATATTATTCCAGCCACCCACAGCCGGCTAACTTGCATAATTTGTGCATCTACACTACTAAAAACAGATGGCAACTCTTGATAGCGGAGCTAAGTTGCCATGCGCACCCATATGCACTGGTGGTGCTGTCCCCTGATGTCTAATGCATGATCACTAAAGTCTCTCCTGCTTGCTGTGAGAGAGGCCAAGGGGCTGTGATTTGCCATCCACGACTGCCATGGAAAAAGAATTCTAATTTGTAATGTCTGCAATAAGTGTACCTGTCTTCCAGGCATGGGTGAATTGCAGAGTCTTAAAATTGATTAGCCCTGTAGAGTAGAACATAACTCAATACAACTTCTAATTCAGCCTCAAATATAGTTTTCAGGATATTAAAGACTGATTTTATGTGTTCACTCAAAAATACTGCACACAAGCATAATAGACAACATTATGTAAGGCTATTATGCACAAACCTAACCATTGCTGTATCTTGTCCATAGTAGTACACACACATGTATGCACTCACCATGCAAACGTTTCCACCAGAACAGACATATATCATGCAGTAATATGCAATTTTCTCTTCAATACTGACCATTTCTATGTTTTCTTTAGTGACTGCTTTGAGTTTATCTTCTATGCGCTGCAAAGACTGCATCAGTTCATCATTTCTCTTTGTGAGGCACTTGTTCTTCTCCAGGAGAGGTTTACATTGTTTTTCAGCTTCTCGGACACGCTTCAGCTGAATTGATAACAATTGATTTGTAGCAATTAATAATGGTAAGTAGTCCAAATAAGAGCTATAGTTCTCTTTTGTGAGAAATATTTTTTGTTAATCTTCCCTATAGGACTCCCGTCACACTAAAACACCAAGCAAAGTGATTACTGGAACTGGCAAAGCTACCCTAGCAATGCTTATGTTTTTGCTGATAGTTCTATCAACTGGAAAACTCACTTATAGAGATGAAGAAAACTGACACACTATCAGATAACTGCAAAGCTGCTGCAAGAACTGTAAATGAAACCAAGACCCGTGTTTTATCTTCAAGAAACTCATGGACTTTCTCATCAAAAGACAGATTTACGTAGGAACTTATGCATATGCACAATGAATGTTTGAGTGAACAAATATTGACTAAAAGTCATTTAAACTACAAAGTAAGCAAAGTATCTTATGGCATCTTTGGAAGTCCCAGTATTAATACAGCTAGAGTCTCAACCAAGTTCTTTTCCTCCACAAAATTAGCTCTGTCTGGTAAAACCCAGTGTTAATACACAACGTTTCTTTTCCTAAGGAAGGATAAAGAAGATGATGTGTGCTCAGATTATCTACTTAATGAATGCAAGAATCAGCTCTGTATTACCATTTATCACTAGGAAGTTCCTGCCTGATGCAGTTCTGCCCTAAAAAAAACTGAGAGAGTTCCCTGTAGCTGTTAAGGAGTTAAGCACGTTTCCTTTTATCATCATATCATCTTACCCATTGATTTTGCTTGAAGCTAGCAAGTGCCTGAAGACCCCTTCTGCTAACAGGAAAGGGAGGAGCTGGTAGGAGGTGGTTACATCTTCCAACAGCATCACTGTTGGCAAAACTACCTGCCTTACCCTACGAATGAAGAAAGCTATTGCCAGTCTGATTGTATCTCAAAGCACACGTGCTACAATCAGAAAGATTAACGTGGTAGAAGGGGATATAGGAGTGTAAGAGCAAAGGGACAAGCATGGATGGAACCACATTACAAAGGAAAGGTGCTCACCATCTCCAAAGACCTAGGCAAACAGGAAAGACTTCACAAGGGAGGGAACTCCAACCAGAGATCCTGGCTCACTGGCAGTCAGCCCTTAAGTGAGATCTAAGAGAGGAGCAGCCAGGCTCCACCCCTTCCTGTCCCACAGGTAAATTGCTGCACCTGTGCTCACAGGGCTGACCGGTCCTTTCCCAGGTGCTCCATCAGTGGTTCAGGCTGTGACTCACCTTACAACATGGTATTTCCAACAGTTCCTGCCCACATTTAGTATGTATTCTTTATAGTCACATTATGCAAGATAGAATTTTGAAGCCTTTTTTTTAAAAAAAAGTTTTTTTCTGTGAAAAAATAGGCTGAAGATTTAATGGCATGAGACAGCTACAAACTATTCAGTATTGCAGAAATCTGAGAGCTTTTCCTAATTGAAGAGAGGCATGTGAACACATTTCTACTGTTACTACAAACTTGTTATTTTGAAAATATTAATTTAAAAATATTGAGGAGGCTCAAGCCAGCCATACTGATATGAAAGGAGTGCACCGAGACTCCTATCTGAAGAACAAAATAAATAAAATATCAGAATCGAATTTCAGCACCCTCATTCTTAATCATGGAAGTAAAAACACTGAGTGATCAAATCACCACCTAAGAGTAAATCAGATACAGAAATCAGTTTACCGTTGTCCATTCTATCTATAGCTGATTCTTGTCTCTTCTCAAGTATAGGACTACAGGCATCATGTGATTTACATCACCATATACTGTTGTATGCTCCTGAACTCTTGAGAAGGTCAAGGAAGGAACGCAGTCACACAGAAACCAACAAGACTCTTCCATTGTGATTTTCGCCCTGATATAACTTTACTGAGATTACTCAGTAATTCTGGAGTGAAAAGCCACCCCAAGTGCCCTAGGAGACAATCCCAATGGATAGAAAAGGCACATTTACCACATGCTTGGAGAATCCTCTCCTCATCTGCCCTACAGTTCCTGGCCTCCCCTATCTGACGGCACAAAGCTCACATACCAGTTCATTTCGTTCATCAACCAATAACGTGTTCCTGTCTTCCAGTTTCCGGATTGTTGCATTCAACTCAGCTATCCTCTTCTGGTTCCTGCGCAAGTCCTGTTCATCAGTAACAACATAACACAATTACTGATTCTTCAAAACACATTTGGGAAAACAATCACCCAAAGCTACATACCAGTCAACACAACCAACAAATTGTACTTGTTATTTGTTTTTAGAAGATCACACATCTTGGCAAAAATGAGTTTTTGGGAGAAGAAAACATCTACTTTTGGGAAAATTTTAAGATTAAAAAATTTTACTTCTAAAAAATAGTAAAAAGATCCTGATGCTTTTTTTTTTTTTTTTTTAACTATTATTACAGGGGGGGAAAAAACCCCAAAGCTGAAATATTCTAGTCTCAATTGATTTTTCCTATACACTGCTGGGCCACTAAGTGAGGCAAAAAAGTAAGGACACCCCTTACAGTATCAACTTTCTTTACCTTCTTCTTCCTCATTCACGTATATGTAAAAACGCGCATGCATACACACTTATTGGGTAAATACTGTGCTTAGTCACAAGGAGCTGCATTCCTTGTTGTAATGCTGTAACGTGATGGGAAGTGCAGAATAGCAGGGTGACAAAGACTTCGGCTGCAGCAAACAAGGACAAGAACAAAGACAGCAGCCACGGACACAAAAAAAAGAAAAAAAAATAAAATAAAAGGCTGCTTATCATTGGAAGGCCTCATATGCAGGGCTCTCCAGTGAGATCCCCTCACCTCCACTGCCAACCCTTAAATGAGGTCTGGGAAGGGGTGGATCCTGGTTTCACCACTTCCACCCAATCAGGCACATTGCATACACCTGAACTCCCCTGGGTTGGCCATGCCTTCCCACCACATGTTCCATCACTATTTCGGGCCATGAATTTGCATATCTGCTACACTTGTGAATGACAGCAATAGCTGCACATGCATAAAGCAAGACAGAAATAGGAGGTACTCTCCAAATCTCCTAGGTTCCCCACAGCCTTCTCTCTGCCCATCTTCCCAATTTGTTTGTTTTTGAGGATGCAGGCTATCCGGATAGTTATGTTCATCAATCAATACTTTCAAAGCAGTACTGATTTTTTAAACGTTTTCCCAGGGGCCAAGACAACATTTAAGCAAGAGAAACGTTGTGTAGAAGTCAGTAAAACCTGCATACAGGGCTGCTGCAGTGCTCTGAGCCATCTCCGGCCCTTCCTGGGATCTCCCTCTTGGGACTGCTCATGTTACACTCTGCCTCTTTCACCAGGAAAAGCTGTTCATCCAGAGCTTCTTTCTGCAGCTGCAGCTTCTGCACATAGCCTGTTTGTGTCTCCAGTTCTTTCTCCAAGGAAAATATGATCCTATCTTTAGCCTTGATCTCATCCATCTGATGAGAAAAGCACAAGAGCAACAATGTTAAGTGTGTAAAAACAAAAGCACTTCAGCCTCAGTGAATATAGTACAATAGGATTTACTAGTGTTCACCACTTAAATCTGCTAAGTCTTACCACCCAGGCTTGAAAATAATATACTCCAAGGTGTCAGCCGCACTGTACACCATTGCAGTAACAGCTTTGATAGCCTTACACAAAGCAAAACTGAGCACAATGTGATGTGCAAAATGGGAGGGGACACAGCCAGGACGGCTGACTCAAACTGGCCAAAGGGATACCCATACCATGTTGACACTGTGCTCAACAGTAAAACTAGGAAGACTAAGCTGGGGCTGCCATGCCTTAATGACTGAACGGGCATTGGTCAGCCAGAGGTGAGCAACTGTGTTTTGCATCATTTGCATTTCTTCTTCTTGGTTTTTAGAATTTTATTTATTTATTTATTTTTAATCTTTTCCTCTTTTACTTCTTAAACTCTCCTTACCTCAATGTTTTTTATAACTTGTTACTATACGATTATTTCTACCCCCTCACTGTGGGAGCAGAGGAGAGGTGAATGTGTGAGTGGGGGGTGCATAGCTCCCTATCAGTGTTCAACCACAATGCTTTAAAATCAAAAATACCACTCCTGACAGTATTTACATCACTGTTTCCTTCTACTGAACTGTCAGTTTTCATGCCAAATGTTCCAATATTGCAAGCAGGCCCAGTTCCCTAGCTATACAAAAAACACAGCCACTTGCGCTACTACTGGTATAGGTTCTTTTTACCCATTCTCATTAGTATGAATTCACTGAATGCTATGGTAAGACCAAAGCAAAAGGTCTCTTCCCTCTTGCCATGATTTGATGTGTTTAAGACACTAACATAAGGGTTAAAGAAACTAATAACTTCAAGTGCAGATGTATTTTCTAATATTTTGCATGGCAGATATATTAGGATCTTGGCAAGCCAAGGTCTTGATGAAATCAATCACCATTACTCTGTGGTATTAGCTGCCCACCCAGTGGTTGCTCTAACTGACTCACTGTGAGCTATCAGCCACAGAGATACAGCAACATGAGGTTTTCGTTACTTCTTCAGACTGAGCTGCTTTGCAGAGTTCTAAGATTCACCAAAAAATTGAAAAGCAAAGGAGACAATCTCACTACAGAATAAAATACATGAGATGTTTTGGTGCAGGGAAGGGTTACTAACCAGGCGGCGAATATCCCTCTCACTCTCCCACTTGATCTTAGAAATGGCTTCCTGGTGAGACTGGTGCTCACTTCGAAGATCACCTGCTTTGATCTTGTCAGCTTGGATCATATTGTTCAAGGCCTCATCTACCTGCTTTTTGGCAGACTTAAGTTCAGTAATTTCCTGCAGAAGCTTAAGGCGCTCAGAGTCAAACTGTTTTCTGGCCTCTTCACGAGCCTCAATAGTCAGGGCTGTCCTTACTTTATCGCTGCTGCCATCCCGCAGGGCACACAACGCTGACTTGAGACGCTGGATTTCACTGTCTCGGACTTTCACCATTCGTGTCATCTCCTGCTCATGCTGTTTGATGAGGTTCTCCCTCACAGCCTGCAGCTCTTTCATTTTCTCCTCATGGAGTTTGGCTTTTAGCTCTGTGATTTGCACAGTTTGCTTGCGCTGCTCCACTTCACGGATACGCTTTGTTTCTTGAGTCTTCTCTCTTTCAAGTTTAGCAATCTAAGTTGAAATAAAATGAGAGTCAACTGCTACCAAGATACTGCTACCAAAACAAGCTCACTTGGACACACAGCCATGTCAGAATAAGAAAGGGCTTCCGGCAGACCCCAGTTGTTCCTCCATCCTCCTCCAACAAAATACAGGCCAACTCCTGAAGTCTTCACTTAGATACTGCAATGTCTTTACTGAAGATAAATACTTCAGCTTTTCCTTAAGAAATAAGTCCTTGTATAGACATTTGACTAACAGCTTTCTAACTCAACTGTTAATTTCAACCAAATTCCTCAGAGAAGTAGAAGGCTTGGCAATAGCAAGATTCATACAGATTTCATGTGATTCATGACTGTAGGAAGTCAGATGAAAGTGCGTGCTGCAAATCTGAACATCCAGAAAACATCTAGTCTTTTGTAGATGTTCTTAATCATAAGTGAAACTTTAAGGTAGTCAGCTCTTGGACATGAAACTAAAGAAAAGTGTGCTTCACTGGTCGTTACAAGGATTGTTCTTTGTTGCTATTTAATATAAACAACTTTTAAGTTATTTGTCCATATGTTTGGAATCAAAGTTACAGAGCAGCCTTCAATACATTTACACTAATATATGTCTAAGCCCAACTAGAGACCTCTGAGCACTTTTACAGCACAATCCTACGTGCACCTACACATAATACTCAGTTGATTTTTAAGGAAGTTTAGATATCATACTGAAAAGCTGGCAGATCACTGGTACCTGAACAAGCCTGAAACAATGCATACATACCTTAGTGCACATGACAGAGTTGGTCTGTACTGCAGAAGGATTACAAAGGTCCATATGGACTTTCATGCTGTACACTTAAGGACTACTTCACTCAACTTTGAAATAGAGATATATTTTACTGAAATAAGCAGTCATTCAAAACAGCAACACTATACAACTTCTAGGCACTGGAATTTTTTAAAAACAGTATACTTAGAAACAATTTGAGCAGATAAGATGAAAAAAATCACTAATTGGAACACGGGCAAAGATGTTACAAAAGGCATAATGCTTCACTGTAAGGCCCGAGGCTGCTTGAATTTGTACCTCAGTAAAAAGAAATCTTTTCCAGTGAAGGAACATCAAACTGTTGTTCAAGAGAAGAGTTTTGCTGCATCTCTTGATTTCTGTTCTACTGTTTTCCCCACATTTCTTTCCTTCAGTGCAGACACTTATTTAAAACCAAACCCTCACTCACCTTAGATTTCTCCTGATGCAGCTCAATTTGGATGTCCGTTAGCTTGGTCCTGAGTTCCTCATTGGCAGCCTGTAGGGCTACAATCAGTGCCTCAGGCTTTTCGCCTTTGCTACGTCCTTTTTTGGACATGATTTCTTATCAGTGAGAGTCCGTATGTTTAATTATTTCAAATACAGACTGCCATCTTTTTTGATCCTCTCTGTGCCAGTTTGTTTAGCACTTACTGCATGGCATTCCTTAAGGTTCTGTCCTCAGCTGCTTTGGAAGCCCTGCAAGAAATTAGACATACTATTATTTGCCAGTGGACGTTGCAGCATGACAGTTCACATGGTTACAGAACACAGGATAGCTCATTTCTCAAAACACTGCAGTCTTTGTCTGAAAACCTACAAGGGAGATGCCAGCACAACCAGGCTTCTGCATGCAAGTCTGACATACTAGTAGAGATTTCGTACATACTCTTTCCCTTTTCTCATAAAGGCACAGCATGCAAAGAAGATACAAATTTGTTTACAATAAGGATTAAAGCTATCGAGACTACAGAACTGGAGAGGACAGGTCATTTAATTCGAGCCTTACAGTTTGGGATCATGATGGAACAGGCATTTTAGTCCAAAGGTTCTATCAACAATCTCTTCCTCTTGCCCTTCCCAATCCCTTGCAATCTTCAAGCCTCCCAAATTCAGGCTTTCACGCAACAATTCTACAAACTGCTACAGGAAGAGAAAAGCACTGACATTCTCACCACCATTCGAGTTTCCTTAGAAGCAGAGAAAAAAAATGATATGCAAAACCCCCAGCCAGGCTAGAATTTGTCTCCTTTGCCATTTTGCAAAGGAGACTCCATCAACAGTGTCCCTCAGCCAAATTTTGGAGAAAATTCCAACCTTAGCCAAACTGATGCAGTAAGTTTAAACACAATCACATCAGTAAGATATGCAGATTGGGAAGCTTCGTGAACAGCACACTAAAACACAGATGAGCTGGTAGGTCTAGAACATTTTGAAGGCGTCCCTGCTCCACTGTAGGAGCATTCCCTGCATCAGCCAAGGGTCTGGCAACACCACATATCCCGCCCATCGATACACAGACCAAATGAGCACCTTTAGGGTTGCTTTAACATGCTAAGCACAGGCAGAGTCTTCAAAGTCACTCTCCGGCCATCTCTGAGTCTGCACTTATAGACTTAAAAAAACGGAAAGAAACTCAACGTGGTTGAGTTTCCAGGAACAGTACCTATCACACAGTGTAACCCTCGCTGTCAGATCTGTCAGTTGTTTGCACACCTTGCCTCTTCAAGTGGCCTAATTCCCTCCTTGCTAAGCTGCTTCCAAGAATCTTGGAATGCAGTCTGACACAGATTGATACTCTTTTCCAGCTTGAGTTATGCCTACTGATTTACAAAGAGTTGCTTTTATGTCACAGAAAGAAGTGTGTATGCTGTTGGATTCAAGCATACAGATCTGTAGGGAGACTGTAATAAGGGTCCTTTATTAATCTAGTTTGAGGTTTGGGCCCTTGAGATCTGCTCCAGACCACTCTAGGAAAATGGGTGGAAATACGTATTGAACATATGTTGCGGACCACACTGTGGTGAGACTGGCTGTCTGCAGCAGCACTTAAGAAACCCTGCTGTAATGCAATGTGAGCTGGAAGCTGTTCTGGAACACAGTGTGATCTTATGGGTAGAGAAGACACCAAGGCGCACAACTTCCAGGTTCTTTTTCCTACCCCTTCCACTCACTGTTTTGGTTTGTAACTTTGGCTATTCTGCTTAAGACAGTGACTTACTTTGCAAATCTGTAATAATCATCTCACTTAGGTGGGTTCATAATTAATGAAGAGAACTCTGTAATCAGTGTAACTTTCACGTTCTTTCAGCACATCCTTTATATTATTAATGAAGGGCTAGATTTTTGCTTTCGTTATTTCTTGAATTAATCACAGCAAACCATTACTGCAGTTAAACCATTACCGGCAGTTTTTCACCTAGGAACAGAAGAACTAGTCCTTACTAAATTGAGGTCCCACATTGTAACCCTGGCAGAACTAGAGCACAGAGGGGCTGGTCCACAAAGTCCTGTAGGCAGAAGCTGCACTCCTGACAGAGCACAAACCTTTCAGTTTATAAGAGCAAAACAGATGATCGGCAAGAGCTGGGCTCTATCAACACTCCAGCACAAGGAGAGGTAGCAGCACAGATTCCCACTGCAGGTCAATACTACTGTTATTTTCTGCTGAAGCAGCAGGATCTACTTGCCAAGGAGGTCAGAGAAGATTTCTTTCTAAGTGGCATCTCTACCTTAAGTCTACGTGCACCCTTCACAAATTATTCTGGCACAGTAAGGGCCTATGTTAAGATTTGCATTTCTTTTTAGTAATCAAAACCTTCACTAGTGTAAAACTACCCTTCACAGAGGAAACTGTTGTTATTGGTCATTTAGGAGATCTGCTGGACATCTTGTAAGTACTGCACACACAGTCATGAAATACATAGATGGCCTCCACTTGCAGTAAGCATTCTCCTCACACACATTACTTTTGAAGAGAAAAAGGAAAATATATGGCCCCTTCAGCAGGCTGCATCCTCCAGGAGATCTAAGCGACATATGGTATCCAAAAAAACATCTGTCTGTACAGAAAGAGACAAACGGCCTTAGCAGCTATTCACTGTGCTTCCTTGGCATCCCTTAATGGTTAATGCATCTCAAACACGCGCAGCATAAATGACTTCATGCCAAATATCCTTCTCCTAGGACTTCCCATCACCCCATGTCCACAAGAGTTAGAAACGTATTCTTTATTGACTAGAAAGTACACCAGCTACCATAAGGGTAACAAATTTGGACATCTCTGTGCGTTTGCATGTTAAAAAAAAAGTTGAGCAGATCCTCCACATGTAATAGCTCCACTGAAATAGAAGTTATTTTTAAGTACTTGCAGAAGATATAAGTACTGAGTAAGCTAGAAGTAAGAACACAAAATGCTGACCAAAAGATAAGCGTTCATTTCTTTATGCACTAAAAATACACATGGAAGACTGGTATCACATTTACTGAAATGCAGTAAAACACACACAATATATTGCAATACTGTTAAAAGCAAAAGTAATGAGAAACATTAGGCTTATATTATTCTAAATCTATCATCTCTATGCTTTACTTTTTGGGTAACATTATTTCCCTGTTTCTCCCTGAAATTGCAGTACCATCAGTATAGAAAATCTTATTTGAAAAATAAATCAAGATATTCATAGAGCCACATAACTTCACAATATCAACCTATTAACTAGCAGGCTGTCACTATCCCTAAAGTTGTATTTACTCTTATGAGAGTGAGAACATTAAATTCTAGACCAGTTCGTGATTAATACTGGAAGACAAATCCCCTCTGTGCAACTTCTAAATCTCTTCCCCTTCTCAGCATTAAAAAAAAATTAAAACTCCTGCAAGGACGGGGGAGGGGGTAAAGGGGCCAAGTCTAAGTAGATTTCAATGCAATCTCTAAGTCTAGAGCTGGTTAAGAAAAATATATCTCAAAATTTATGCAGTGTGGAAAACCCTGAAAATTAAGAGTATCCTTCAGAACAGAAAAGAAATGGAAACTATTATTACTATCTGGGAAATACTGAAACCATCTTACTGCATTGCTTTGCTATTATGAAATCAATATATAATTATTGAGATTGCTTTTTTGATTAGTATACCTGTCATGGTCTTATGATTTTTGTCACTGGTATTCCACACCATGTAGTGAACTGGGAGTTAAAAGGTTAATCACAGAATGGACTGGGTTGCAAAGGCCCACAGTGCTCATCCAGTCCCAACCCCCTGCTGTGTGCAGGTCGCCAACCAGTAGCCCAGGCTGCCCAGAGCCACATCCAGCCTGGCCTTGAATGCCTGCAGGGATGGGGCATCCACAGCCTCCTTGGGCAACCTGTGCCAGTGCCTCACCGCCCTCTGCAGGAAAAGCTTCTTCCTAATATCCAACCTAAACCTCCCCGTCTCACTTTATGACCATTCCCCCTTGTCCCATCACTACCCATCCTTGTAAGCAGCCACTCCCCCTCCTGTTTATATACTCCCCTCAAGTACTGGAAGGCCAGCGCACCAGCTGTGAGGATTGCTGGCATTCCCAGCAGACTGCCACTGTTCCCTTTCTGTTTTCCTGCTCACCAGTCACAAGACAGTCCTTCTTTTGCTGCTCATCTCTGCAGTGCTCCCCAGCCATCTGTCTTCAGCTTTAGTGTCCAAAAGTGAAGGCCTTACTCTATCTCTCATTTTGATTTATTAGTTTCAACTCCAGTGATACTGTATTTTACTGTGCAATCTCACATTCCACTATCACATTTCGTAAATTAGTTTTCTCCCTCCGTTCATTGCCACTGTTTTATTTCAGGCCCATCTCCCTGCCTCTTCCCTTTGTACCCTTCCTGCTGAACCCGGCACACTGGGCCAGAGCTGCTGACAGTACTACATAACGATCATGAAACACCTCTGTCAAAACCAGATGGCTCTATAACAAAACACTAAGAAAACTGTTATGAAATCTGTAGCAAAAGGTTGCTTTGGCTCACAAAGCTCTGAGCTTTGTAAAGATTTATATACCAAATCTGATGTTAAGTAGTTGTCCTACAGAATGGGTTTTACAGCACAGAAAAAAAATCTCAATAGACAGCAGCCTATTCTCTGCTATTCTCAAGCTGTTCTGCAGAGTTGTAAGAGGACTTGCTTCCTTCATGGATAACCGAACAGGGTGAAGGAGCTGCAAACCCTCATTAACTTGGATTCTAATGTGTATTATCACAAAATGTGCATTTTGTAACAAAATCACGGCATGCTAACCTCACAAAGGACACTGCCTGTACAAATTATAGTCAGGCCACTCCTCTGCTAGGTTTTGATTTTGTGGTCTCACTGAAACTAGGCTGCTGTTCAGAGTTTCATTTGTATTACTACAAATTCCATACACTCCCTCACAGTGTATGGTGTTTGATACGGTTTATTTCCCATAATAGTAAACTTGATTCTGCGATGCTTATTAAAAAGTAAGCAAAGTATGAGGGACTCCTCTTTTGTGATACTGTCCCAGTGTCAGAGCAGATGTTGGCAGTACAGCAGCAGATGTTG